TATATATATATATATATATATATATATATATATAGGCCTATTTATAGGCCTATTTATATGTGTATGTATGTATAGCTACGATTGTAATCTGTATAAATTAAATACAATGATGAAAACTAGAATTGATTTTCGTTCAAGAAAAATACGCCGTAGGCCTACCTATTTGTATGTCTGACTATTAATAATTTATGATACAAATTTAAATTAACCGCATTTTTATATATTTTCATCATACCGAAAAGCATATTAAAAACATAACTACTTTGCGGTAGGAAAACGCTAGAAAGGAGAATGCAAGAAATATGCGTCATGAAAACTTCGATGAGTAATGAATAAATGATTGCAAATTGATGAGAAAAATGATTTAAATCAACCTGAGCATGTTTTTGGCACCGATGTGATGAATAAGTAAGCATTAGACTTCAGGATAAATGAGACCGTAATGTATATCTTTTATTAGTCTTATAATCGTTAAAATATTCAAGAGTATAATTGAAATTTTAATTAAAAACATCCTCACATTTATCGCCAGCAGGAGTGTAGAAAAATGAAATAGTCTTGACACAGATATGACCTTTTCGATAGATGTCGTTCGAATGCAGAATGAAGGAAAAATATTATATAACGAGCGGAAAAAGTGTTCTTTTTTCTGATTGTATATGAGTTGGATTGAAAGAAATACGTCGCCCTACATTAACGAAAGGATAACGATGAACTCTGGCACGCGCGTGTTGCATCATATTACATTTTGACAGTTATTCCTTCATCTGCTAGCTAAAAAAATACACATATTTACAAATATATTCCTAATTTAAAGTCAAAACACGTATCTTGTACGAATCTGTCGAGGCTTAATTACCATCGTTTTTCAAGTGCTGCAATAGTCTGATAGGCCTACTTACATCTTCATTTCTAGATATATTTTTTAAATCGTCGTTCGAGTAGATGATGATCAATTGTAGGCCTAGATATCAGGGGGCCTGCGATATATTTTCCAGTTTGTTTTTCTTAGAAAAGATGTATATTATCATAACGTAATACAGACTCTTTATTTTAATGTTTTGAATTGATTAAAGAACATTTATTGTACAAATTTTAAGGAAAGCTATTTTCAGGATTCGATTAGCAGCGTACGGTATGTATAATCACGACTGGGCCTAGCCTGTGATTATATCTCTGAGTTACTTTATGAGATACTGTTGTGCCGGAGTTTTAATAATTTTTAAATAATTAGGCTGTAAAATCGCACTGTAAAATCATGGATTCGCGGACAATAATGCAGCGCACAGAAACGGAAAGTAATTGTGTAGAAATGGGCGATACTGCAGAGAGCAACGAAAAATAATTGCATAGTTACGGGAAATAATCGCGTAGCAACGTGCAATAATGCAACGGAATGGAAAATAATTGTATAGCTACGGGTAATAATCGCGTAGCAACGGGCAATAATGCAGTGCGTAGCAGTGGAAAATAATCGCATAGCTACGGGTAATAATCGCGCAGCAGCGGTACCACCGGTAGATACTGAGTACAGCAGAGATACGGTACCAATAATGGGAAGGTATGACCACTCAGGAATAGGAAATTACGTTAAGGTAATAATGACGTCAAGATTGACTTATTAAAACATTAGGCCTACGACTCGGTCTCTGAACCATAAGGTAGGGTCCGATTTCCCTACTAGCCAATTACTTATGTTGAAAGAGGCATTTTATATATGTAACCAATCTTTACTCAGAAATAATGTAGACATTAGGTTCAATTTCCATTGCGTTGATTAGTAATTGCAACATATTGGTATTCTCCCACAGCGCGACTGAGTGTGTTCTGTAGACATTGGTAATTATGGAAAGTGAATAAAAGCCTTGGGTGGGTGCGCCACAATAATATTATAAATATTATGATAATAATAATGATTATAATATTAATAAATAATGATAACGATGATGATAATGATGATGGTAATGGTAATACTGTAATAATAATAATAATAATAATAATAATAATAATAGGCCTAATAATAATATTTATAATAATAATTATTAATAATGATAATAATAAAATAATAATAGACATTTATAATACTGTTATTTCATTTTGGGGCTTAATAGGTTATAATTTTACTGAGTAAAGTATAAATATAAAACGCAATATGGCTGCGAATATAAATTCGTTCATTATACAAATACTGTATTAAACATGTTTAATTAAATAGCATAGTTTTTACGTAAAATCTCACCATTAATGACACATGTCCGCCACAGTCCTGATGACATCAACACACGCGTAGTCTTTGGTTCTGTAACTATCTCATCGTCCGTGTAGATGTCCGAAATGGTGTCATTAACGGCCAAATCATCCATGTAATTCAACCAACTGTTGGTGATGACTGCTACCAGGAGGAAGGCGACGGACGTGGTAGCACACAAGACAACAAGGACTACCGTTTGCTTGAACTGGTGACGAGTAGATCGGACCATGATCGTATTCTAATCTAGAGGACATATAGTAACAATTACATTTCAACGTTGATTGTAGAACTAGTGATGCGCAGGCGCAAAATATATCAAAATCACAGTTTCAGTCGGAACACAAATTTATGTCAATATAGATTGATCATTTCGAAAATGGAAAATGAATAGAACATTGAATAATAAAACTCAATATCATCATCATCCAACAGATTTTTTCCCCATTTTAATGGCAGATAAAAGGAAAACCAGGACATTACGATGTGTCTATGCCTATAGGGACCATGGTTTCCTCACCAATGGCTTATATGGAATTGAACAAAATGCCTAGGTCTACTAGTTTAGGTAGTATCCAGATAATTCGGCCTAAAAATATTTAATTAAAACATTAACTTGGCCGTTTAAAAATTTAAAAATCAACTTTATGAGGCACGATCTTGTTCACTTTTTTTACCTGAAAGCTTTGTAATCTATTACAAACATTTATAATCGACTGTCAGTGAATCTTAGGTTCTGAAAATAATATAGAATATATTTAAGCCACTTGGCGAGAAAATTATTTCTAATTCTAAATTTGAATTGATTGAAAGCTAATGCGTAACGTAATGCTTATAAATTTATCGGAGGATTCAGTGCGCGCTTACTCGAGAGCGGTGCTCTTACAAAAAATATTGGCGCGGAGCTTTCCACGTCTGTTCCCATGGTGTTACCTCTGTTTTTGTTCTATTTTGAATTATAATTGAGAAATTACCATTACTTTTAATTTACCAGACAATCTACCGATTGTATTGAGTGATATCCTTACAATATCACTACACAATCCAGGCACGTATCCGGGGGGGGGGGGTTATGGTTCGGGAGAACCCTCCCCCCTTTTCTAGCAAACCCCCCCCTCTTTTCTGGCGAAACCTTCTCTTTAAATTTCCCAAGTAAGCCCTCCAACCCAACTAATGCACCACAGACCCACCCAGACGCAGACATTTTCAAACATATCTGCTTTTACAGCATTATAGACCCATAAAGCACAAAAATCCTCTTGCTCTGGGGGTTTTCGCCGATCCCACCGGGGCTTCGAATGTGGACCTCACGCCCAGAAAACCCTCCATTGGAAGAACCTGTCTACGAGCCTGCAATCACAAAATTTGGTTAAAAAACCTCGATACACAACCAATAATGAATTTCAAATTGAGGATAGGCCTAGCTGAAGGGTAGCGTCATTTTTCTGTCCTCTCCTTTATTGCAAATTCGCATTGCATTTATTACTATCGATGGTTAGTAGTAATTCTAATTATATTCATTATATTGTTTTACGTGAGGTTATTTGCAAACCTGTTTCAGCAAGGTAGTGGATTGGTCAAAATCCACTGTTTCCCGTTATGTGACGTGTACAGAGTTTATAATGCCAACGGGACCATACACAATATGCATTGTGGGGCGTACCCCTTTGTAAGCACGGAGAGCAACGACCGCATTGAAAATTCGGGCCCCAATGATAACCCTGCTGTGACGACCATTTGCGTAGAAATACCCATTTAAAAGTGGGTGTGGCATGTGGAAGTAAATAGAGGTGTGAGCAAGGCTACATTTATATATTTTGCTTCCTTTTAAGATGAGGAACAAACAGATCGTTTGACCAAAATAACTGAGAGGTGGGGTTGGTCGATAGAACACAAGTTTCTCACCCGGGTAGGCGCCCTTAACGACTAGACTGGAAAATATATGCCCTTTGTCTTGAAAAATCAATACGAATTCATATTTTATACTCACCCTTTTCTTACGATTATAGCTTTCAAAAAATATTGCTCTCACCTATCAAATCTTCTAAATTCATGAATCTCAAAGCCAGCGGAATATCCAATTACATTAAAAATATTAATCTACTTTTTTCTACGGGTCTAGTCTGTGTACAATATAGGTAAGTCCTCATAAATGTTCCTTTATAATGTTAGAATACGTGTCAGGCTCTGCGTATTTTATCCACGTTAACGATGTTAAAGGTACACCCAATCAGGGGCAGAGAAACTGTGCATACCATTTTCCACGTAACTAGATTACGCCGCACATCAAATCATCAACGTAATGAACACATCAACAAGCGACACAATACAACCACGAAACAGGTCTTGTTATGTGAGACAGATCTTGTCATGAGTCACAATGAGAGTCCCACATTACAGTTAGTGTTATTACTGAGGATTAATAAGAATAAAGACTGCATTTACACCAATTACTTACCAAAGATTTTCATTTGTTCAGTTGTTCACTTCAGTGGATGTCTCCCTCTAGAGGTACGGATAAGCATTGTATTGCCTGTTTGTAGACGCGCGCTAACACCCATCCACATCACCCCAATCACGATCATTATTTTATTGAGATACAAAAACGGAAGTTGATGGCGTTCATTAAAGAGCTACTACGAAAATCGCTATTCAGTGTCATTCATAATTATTCTTAATAATTAATCAAAATGACTTTATAAAATAAACAACAATGTAGTTAATTCATTAAAACATTGTTATTTTTAAAAATGTTTTATTCAACATTATTTAACGAGGTTAACCCTAAGAGCAATGCTGATACATAAACAAAATAAAATGCAACAGTTAATTAAGAAGAAGAAAATTCAACAAAAATTCAGTTTACAAGAAAAACACACTAACTCTTGTATAAGTACAATTTTTTTAGTGAACCCAAGAAATATTATCCATTGGGATTGCAAAAACCTGAAATTCCAAAGACAAATAAATTTTTTTATTTACGCTTCAATGTTTGGCATGTAAATAAGGTTCGAGAAACACGTTTTGTCTAATCTGTGATTAACTTACATATTGTGAGAGGCAGAATTTTTTTTGGACATGGGTTAAGACATTTAAACAGGAAAAAAATTGATGAACTACCGCGGTGTTTTCATGTTAAAACATTCTTATACATATTAACATCAATTTATAAAATTCTCTTAACACGCAAGTCATCTTATACCATGGAGGAATTTGTTTAAAATCTGTCTCTTATACACATCTAGATGTGTATAAGAGACAGTATATATATATATATATATATATGAAGAAGATGCATCCATATGATTCAGGCTCAGAATCGACAACAATCGCAAAACCACCAGTCACAATTGGATTCTGATGACAGAGCTAGACTGCCTAATTTATGTATTCCGATTTTAAATTAGATATCAGCACAACATCTTTATACGTAACCATGACCATCGTTGAGCTGTCGGTTTTCCAGTACAATGTCCATTCTCGGGTTTTCGTCGTTGTATTCACCTACGTTCACAAACGCAACTTCTTCTTGCGCGATCTGCTGCAGAGTTCCGTCTTGGCGTCGTTCGTATACTCTAATCGAGTACGTCCCTCCATCACTTAATTGCGCATCTCGTATATTAAGCGTAACCATCCCATTGGGCTGTACTTGATGAACTAAACGCTCGCTGCAGTGATCGTCTGCCAATGTTTCTTCACCTCGAGTAATCTCCTCGCCGTCCCTTAGCCAACTTATAACATGATTCTCATCAATTCCTTCCACGCCACTTGTTAGTGGGATATCAGATCCAAGTAAAACGCACAACGGCATAAAGTTTGGAATGATCGCCACCATTTTGCTGGGTCTGTATTTGTTTAGAAAATAAAAGAAAATAATAAACATGACAGAATTACTAAAGCACATTAGGTTGGCAAAATGTCCCTCCATGTAGGTATGTAGTTACTCCATTTTTGGAGTGTCTGCACCTGCCGTCAAAACTTTTATTAAAACCTCCGATTTCGGAGTTTCTGCGTACTATTAATTAAACAAGCTCTCTCTATAGAGAGATAGAGCAAATCTCCGATTTTGGAGTTTTCGCGTATAGTACGCAAAACCTCCGAAATCAGAGGGTTGCTCTCTCTATATATAGACAGCGCTTGTTTAAAGATTTTATTTATACGAAACCTATACGAAACCTATTGCATAGGTTTCGTATAAATAAAGATTTTATTTATACGAAACCTATGCAATAGGCATCTAATGCCCATTCAAGGATGGACAAAATTCTGGTTTGATGTTAAGTTTATTGCTCAATATGTGTCAAAATATGAATTTAAATGATTTTTTTTTCTTAGTTTGTGACTACTGTATTTGATTTGATTAATACAATAAAAAGTGTCCCCTTAATAGGGTAAAATTGTATTGATTTGACCATGTGGCACACTCAAAAAGTGTCTCCGCCTCCTTAATGGGATACCCTTAGTAGGGGTATCCCGTTAAGGGGGGTATCCCATTAAGGGGGGTATCCCATTAAGGTTGGCTGTAGTGTTAAAAGATGGGCCTATAGGTCTACTGCCACGGAAAAGTGTCCCCTTAAGGGGTGTCCCATGGATTGGGGTGCCCCAAAGGAGGGATTCATCATGACAGCAACATTTTCTGTCACCGAACCAAGACAGTAGCCCTTAGATGGCCCCTGGTACCTAGCCTAAATGGTTAAGAAACTGTCAGCCTACCTTTTGATAACGTTTATTTCTTTGGGGCTTGGTCTGTGTTAGTAGCCTACCTTCTACTTACGGTACACGTTGTGTGTTGATATTTTTAGATTTTGGTATTTCCATAGGAAATAATAATGAAGTACAATCCATTGTTGCTTTATGAATGACTGAATTCTTGCGGTGGGCTCACCTGGCGTGATACGTCGCTTAACCATAACCTTCCGTTGAAATAGCAGCCCTTTGTTTACAATAGGACTCGTGCAACACTGCTAATAGTATAACGGAATGGGTATACAGCGCGCCATAGATCGCTGGACGAGGGTGAGTACGACCACGAGAGGTCTGGGAACGTCCACGACGGGAGGAGGAAAGATATCCCCGAAAGGGGAACATCGCCGAAAGGGGGAAACATCACCGATAGGAGGAACATCCCCGATAAGGAGAAATGTTTCTGACTGGAGGGGAAATGTTCCTGAGAGGAGGAATGCTGGGCGGGTGGGGTCCAGAGGGAGAAAAGGGTGCGTACGTCTGACTAACTGAAAATTAAAACTATACCGGTATGTTTTAAAGCATTAACAAATTTCATCATAATACGTGTGTGAGTGATAATTGCAGTGAACCAGAAAATTAGGCCCCATTGTAAAGGTCAGGGTGTGCACATTCCTCGATCCTTCCATTCGCGTTCGTCATCAATTAAATTTTAGTTTTATAGTGCAATAATAAAAGCGCAATTGAGACAAGGATGGCGCAACATGACCATTGACCATTTAGGAACACAATTCCGACAACGGTAGGCTACCGATCCGCTACCGATCCTTAAATTCTAAATATAAATTACCGTACTACCAACAAAATAATAATATCTACAAGCAAATCAATATGTTAATCCCAAACACAAGATGCCTTCTACAAAGTCTCATTATTATGAGGCAAGTTGGTCTGGTGAGATTCGAACCTATGACCTCCAGATAACGATCTTATTTTCGCAGCCACTAGACCACAAAGCTTTCCCTCATTAAACTAGTGTTAAATTTATTCCTTAAGAAACAGCTATGATTATTTGCGTCAGGAAATTTTATAGGAATAGGGGCCTAATATTTTTTTTCCACCTAATGTGTTATCCTACCTGAATGCTCAGTACAATCCCAAATACAGGTCTCCTTGCAGTAAAAACTACTTTTTGGGACGGAGTTTTCATGGTTTTAAGCAGTTTTGGTCTCTAATTAGAGTAATAAAAATAAATGACATTAATTTTGTTAAATTAAAGTGGTCTTTAATTGGAGATGGTCTTTATTGGGGGCGTCTTTCATTAGAGGGAGCTGTAGTAAGCGTTATATGGGCGACACTGCAGGTTCATGAATAATTAAATAGCAATATAAATTGAATATTCATTTATCCTAGCAGGGTATGTTATTGTCGACAAGGTCCAGTGAACACACACTTCTGCTGTCCTAGCCTACACACGAACTTTTTTCTTATGCTTGTGTTAAGTAACAAAGTGATATTATATAGGCTTAGCCTAGACTTAATATTCTTTGTATGTACTGTACCTTGTAAGTAGTACAAAAGAATATAAACAGGAGCAACCACCAGCGGCAGTAGGTAAGAATTAGATTATAATTTATATTTATGGTAGTGTAGGTCTGGCCCCTGGCCTAGGACGCTTTGGCTAAGAACCAATTATTGCCCATCTAAAGATTAATGTATAAAATATAACAACACCTGCAGTAGTGGTGCCCATAATGCAGTGGCGGTGCCCATCTAAGGACTAATGTATAAAATATAACAACACCTGCAGTAGCGGTGCCCATAATGCAGTAACGGTGGCCATCTAAGGACTAATGTATAAAATATAACAACACCTGCAGTAGCGGTGCCCGTAATGTAGTAGCGGTGCCCATCTAAGCATTAATGTATAAAATATAACAACACCTGCAGTAGCAGTGCCCATAATGCAATAGCGGTACCCATCTAAGGATTAATGTATAAAATATAACAACACCTGCAGTAGCGGGCCCGTAATGCAGTAACGGTGCCTATCTAAGGATTAATGTATAAAATATAACAACACCTGCAGTAGCAGTGCCCGTAATGTAGTAGCGGTGCCCATCTAAGCATTAATGTATAAAAATATAACTACACCTGCAGTAGTGGTGCCTATCTAAGGATTAATGTATAAAATATAACAACACCTGCAGTAGCTTGTAGAGGATTTGCTATAAATTTTAGTTACTTTATGCTAAATTTTACTGAGACATCTACAGTAATGTATTTGTGGTTTAGATTCTCAGAGCAGATTGAGTAACATTAAATATCAAGACATTTACTAAAGGATCTGCCTTGTCTATTTTGTTTGAGTCATTGATGTAATGCAGTTACAGAGTTCGTAGTGTAGCGGTAGTGCATGAAATTTTGTTCACATAAACTAGAGGTGATTACCAATAAACGTTCATCGCCATTTTTTAAAGTTCGTCTCCAGGGTTGATTCCCTTACACCTACAAAACAAAACAGGGGTTTCAAACTTTAAAAGCGTCCAGCGTCCTGATGATGACATAATTAATGTCGAAATATTGAATTCCGACAGGATGGCGTGCATTTCGATACTTGAAGTGTATTATACTATGTTTTCTGAGGTTAACCAGTGGACCAGTAAAGGATGTGTTCTAAAGAACTTACAGTCGTGAGTTCGAATCGCGTAGTTAGCAAGTTTGAATCGCGTACTTTTTTTTCATTTTGTGAAACAAGTCTCATCCATGTTCATTAAAAAAAATTATCACTCGTGACCTTCGGTTAAGGTTCTTAATAAGGGCGTCGTGAGTTCGAAACGCGTCTTGATATTCTTATTTTTTTTATCTAATTTTAAGAAAGTATTTTAACTTTGCACAAATGATTATTCTAAATAATGTTATTTTTTTTCTTGTACAAATACACATTATATTTATTTAAAACTTACTGTACATTATTTCCATTACCACTAGCAGGGCACGTCGTATGAATGGCCTGGTCGGTCAAGTATGTGTTCTAAAGAGCTTAAGGTTGAGAGTTCGAAGCGCGTATTGGTATTCTCCCCCCCCCCCAATTTATATATTTTTAAAATTTTGTACAAATGATCATTCTAAAAAATACTTTTTTTTGTACAAATAAACTTTCTAATTATATAAAAATTTCTATCTTATTAGCTCTTCCAAAAAACCCAATATGATAACATGTATGTAATGTGCGCATGCCTGAGTTTTTATTAACCGTACATAACTGAATGCTTCAACCCTGAGGCACGACCAACATCGGCTACATACAATATATCAACGCGAATTAAGCACAAATTAATGAACATTTGACGATATTTGCCCATTACATTGGAAATGAAATAATATTAAACCTGTGTTAATAGTAACTTATAAAAAGAAATAATAATAATAATTTTTCACACATCATTGTAAAAATTTTCATTTCTTTCATGTATTGTAAAAAATACAAGATTAAGTTGTTGTTAGCAGCAGTGATGATGGTGGTAATGATGATTTTCTGTTATGTTTTTATTGTTTACAAAGTATTCAAATAACAGATACACTGTTACTATTGATATTGAGAAACATATTTTAACTTTGTACACATTATTATTCTAAATAATGTTTTATTTTCTTGTACAAATAAACATTTTATTTATTTAAAACTTACTGTACATTATTGTCATTACCACTAATAGGGCATGTTGCATGAATGGCGCGGTCGGTTAAGGATGTGATGATAATGGTGGTAATGATGATTTCCTGTTATGTTGTTATTGTTTACAAGCTGTCACCTCGTTTTGAGAATAGACAATTGACACGTTAGACTAGTGACTGCGCACACACATACAGTACACGTACAAGTGAATAATAGTCAACATAAAAACATAGTTATAAATTCAAATAAGGTGTTTAATAAAATAATATGTCGAACATTCAGTTCGCATCATAATACCCTGGCCTATATACAGATGAGAAGCCAAACATGTGACGTTCTCCTGGGTCACTACTAGTCACACCACACAAGTTGGTTCTGAATGAAATAAATATCAGCTCTTACTTCAGCTGCTTGAAACCTTCAATTTCTTTTTAAGTCTTAAGCCTGTCGTTGGAGTTCAAGCTGTACTCCTCTGACCATCTAAAAATTAACAAAATACACCTTTCTAGAATAGTTATCCTAAACAAACATCATTTCAAGCATTCTGGAACATGATTAACTTTCATATTAATAAAATGGTTAATCTATAGATTTATGCTACCAATATGCTGTACAATTGTATACATACGCCCATAATAAGTGTACAGTAACTATTAAAGACGTCTACTTGCATAGATCCAAAGTCAATCTAAGCATATTACATTAATAATGCATACCACAGGTACATTCAACATTCCTGCATTAATTCAACCCTATGCAATATTACAATAAAAATCTATCCCATTACGTTATTCAGTAATCAATTAACGTTACTCAGGGTCAAACTAACTCCAATTGGCTCTTATATATGAGTTGCACAATACTGTGATGCTCCTAGCTATCACCATATATCATTTAGGTAGGCTTCACTATGCCTCTTAACTTTGCTTAATCTTTGGTGCACCTTAATAGATGACATGTCCCTGCTTGGATCATATTCCACAGCTTACACCCTTCCATTAAGCCTTTCCTTATGCAACTACCTCTCCCTTCTGGTTTCTCTACCAAGCCTACCCCTGCTAACACAAATTAACATAATATTCCCCCACCCATTTTCTCTACACTTATCAGAAGTTGCCACTTGCCTAAAAGTTATTCATATTCATGAAACTTTCAACTACCCTGGAGTAATGCTATATCAACCATTAACTCATGCATATTCATTATACTGATTCTACACAATGAACACAAACAACCATTGAATCATGAATATTTATTACGCTGATGCACTATACAGTGAGTGTAACGCATTATAAGGTCCACTCTGTGACACAAGCGTCAAAGTATTTCTTTATTTCAAAACCACATCCAACAGCAATTACTTGCGAATAACAGGTGTAATAAAATGTATACAAGCATCATATAAATATAAAAAAAATATAAATAGAAAAACACACAAAAAAGTAACAGGGTCACAAGTCACACACACACACACATACACCCACAGACCCCCCACATTCTCATCCCCGGCCCAAATCCAATCAGATAAATGCATGCACATGTAATAAACTGGTTTTAAATGAACTTAAATTTTGATGGAATACATCA